GAAGCACTGTACATTTTCTCTTTCACTCTGGTCACCAGATGACACACCTGTGTAATAAGTAGCATCTCAACACCTTTCCCATCAGAAGAAGGGGAATTAAAAAGGTAAAATACTTAAGCTTTATGAAGTTTTACTTCCTCTACCCTCTGTGACATATGTGAAAGCTATGAAAGGAAAAGACTAATGGGATTGAACTTTTCCACATCCACAAAGCATGGGAATATATGGAAAAACACATAGACCCATGTAGTTTACACAGCTGAGAGCATAAGTTTTATTAGATCAGGTCAAGAAGTATAACTCTCTTGCCCACACCTGTCCTTACTCGTTAGTAGATTAATATAGAAGTTAAAAGACACTGATTCAAGTTCTACTGATCCCATCAGCTTTATAAACTATTGACTGATAAACTTTTAACTGAAGCTTAGCCTTGGGATCAGTGGAATAAAATATGGAGAGAAGAATCATGCTAAGTGCTGGACATTCTCCAAACGATATATATATTTATAGCTATACCTCAAAGGCAGAAGGATTACACGTAAATGCATACATAGTATATTAGCACTAAATATTTAGCGTGCCTGGTCTTCAGTAGAAATATACGCTGTTCAGTGAAATTGAGAATCCTATATGAAAGTTAAATGAAAATTCTAATGATTTTAATAAAAGGCTAATCATCTTTGGAAAGATAACTTTAAATATCACACTTGGAAGTAAATTTTCTTTGCTATCTGTCCACTTGAAACTGGATTGTTTGCTTTCCTTAAGAGTATTCCCACTGACACGTCACCTCCCTGAAATGCTGGCCTCCGAGATGGGGCACGAGAAGACGGAGGATATTCTCACCATGAAGGGCGAGGCAGAGAGAATAAGAGAATATGGAAATCACGATGATTAGTTTTTACTTATAGGTTGTCAGGCTTTTGCAAATTAGAAACTGTCTTCACCAATAATGATTCCAACTAGGAGAACCCCTAATATGAACATTCTGGCATCTGTGGATTTTACAGTAAATAGGGACTAAGTGGCTAAACAGACAACCACAAGAGCACCCAACTTCTTCCCATGTGATTCATCAGGCCTCAAGCGGGCCTTGGTCACTTCCAGGCAGTCAGTTCCAACAAATGTTACCAAGGTACTGAAATGCATCCCTCTTCCTCTTTCAGCTGATGACTGCAGTTACCAGTGCTTTCAAAGAATCAACTGTGACTTTCACTGTGGGGTTTAGCTAGTCATTCAGACTCTATGAAACCACACATACCAATAGCTTACCCATTTACTTGAATAATTCTAAAATGCTGATGATAAACATAAGCAAGCATAATTTTCATGCCTATAAAGGAACCTCCTGGCTTTTACAGTTTCTAAAATCTACTTGAGATAGAGTTAAGATTTATTATCTATATCAATAAATACTGAGCAGCCATTACATACTTCTTATTGTGCTAGATAATGTGAAGAGATCAAAAAGCTGTAAAAAGCTTGGTCTGTGGCCAAAAGATAGTTACGCCTAACTGAGAAGCCTAGAAACACAGATTAAAGATTAGAACTGTGCTAAATTATGCCACTGGTTAGATATCTACTTGACTCATGCCTGGTATGCATTTAATAAAGTAGTAAATATCAGTGAAGTTTTCTAGATTTAAGCTTTAGCCTGCTCACCCCGTAGGACGCTGCATTATGAAGAGGAATTAAACCACCTTTGTCCTGGGCATTAACATCTGCTCCATGTTCTAGAAGATATTCAGCTACTTCCAGGTTATTGTAGCCTGCTATTAGAGTGAAAAAAGGCAAACATGTCAGCTTAAAAAAAAATCTATCTGTATATAAATGATAAGGACTGGAAAATATATAGTTTTAGTACTTTTTGCTTTAAAAGCTAATACTACTATTACATAATTCAGAATAAGAAATTTACATAATTTATAAGAAGAAATTACATAAAATTATGTCAATCAAAAGCATTTTACTGAGTAGTACTCTTTCCGCTCAGCATTTCTTTCCTCTTCTGGTGGACTGCATTAGGTACCTAAGAAAGGACAATGAGCCTTGGAAGTGCTGGTGATGCTTACCTGCCAGGTGCAGAGGGGTTGAGTTTCTGCCCTGGGTGTCTCTGCAGTTGATATTCTCTGGAGTACAGAGCTTCTGCACTCTTGCCAGGCAGCCCTTCTTGGCAGCATCCAACAGGGCAGCATCTCCTCTCAGTAAGTCCTGAATATCTGTGTCTCCTTCTTTTACCAAATCTAAAGGTGTATTTCCATCTCTGTTCTTTTTAGTCGGATCTGCTCCATGCTACAAAATAAAAACCAAATAGGGCTTGTGTTTCCTGTAGTATCTTTAAGTTTTGTTTATTTTTAACTTCACTTCCACTCATCCAAGGAAAGATACCTATTCTACACGCATTGTGAAAAACAGAAAATAGCCTGTTTTTTCTTGCAAATTCCCTACTTAGTAATACACTGGATTAGCTTTCTAACTACTTCCCAATCAAAGCCCCAGGCCTCAGGATCAATGCTGATGGTGAGTGGGGAAGCTGTTGAGTGCCTTTTACTTTTCGTATCATATACTTTCTCAGACCCTAAGCTGTCTTTGGAAACCACTTTTCTTTTAAATTATGCCCTGGATGTTAATTTTGACTAGATTTCAATTATATAAAGATATTCTGTGTTGATGAAGTGAGAAGAGTAAGACACACAGGTGGAAAAAGTACTTAATTTCAAATGGAATCAATAAAAAGAAGGTTTGGTAATTTAAAAACATTTCCATTGTAAGTCTTAACACTGATCATGAAATTAGGTAGAAATGTAGTAACAATTAACTTGACTTTAAAAGTTTAATCATCTACATCTATGAAATACAGTAAATGGAAGTCAAGAAAGTCCTGACATGGACTGCCCTTGGCCCACTGGAGAAATATGGAATAACCAACCCAGACAGTGAATTCACAGTGACCTAGAAGTTATTCCTTACTAATCAGTGATAGTAAAAATGAGTATCAAATATAGTGCTATTCTCAAGATCATGAGAACATATGCAATCCCATAAAAGCAGTGGGAGAACTTTATATTTAACTAGGATAAGTTTTTTTCTAGTTTAAAAAAATATAAAAAAGAAAGTGACAAATATATGTCATTTTTCACATCTTTTAATTAACTTCACATTTTAAAATTTCACATCCTTTAAACAATGCTTAATAATGAGAAATGAGTTTGTTAATAATAATAACATACCTAGTAAGAAAAAAATCAAACCTGATGGAAAAATTCATTTTTTCTTGTTCAGATGTTTTGATATTAATACTCTATCAGATAAGTAATGCAAACTAATTCAACTCTTTCCAAAACCTACCTTGATGAGTTGTGATGAACTCAACATAATCAAATCAGTTCAGAAAGGCACTTCAGACACCACTCAAAGCTATGTAAGTATCATATCACACTTAAAAATCCCCCTAAAATAGAAAATGGAGGCAGTCTCTACAGCACTTACTGTACTTAATAGAATAATTTACTTTGATGTCGTTTTACATCCTAACCAAAAAACAAATATAACTACTTTATATTTTTTAATTTAAAAAGTTACATACTTTTAAAAGGAGTTTGCAGATTTCATATTTTCCTTTAGCTGCTGCTTCATGTAGAGGGGTAAATTTCCACAAGTCCGCCACATTGACAGAAGCCCCATGCCTTACTAAGAGCTCAGCCACCTCATAGTGTCCATATGAGCAAGCATTGTGAAGGGGCACCAAGCCACTAAACAAAAGAAAATCATTTTAAAGACATATATCAAATCTTTGAGTTAAAGTTATACGTGTAAAGAAAATCATTCTCTACGACACTGACTACACTAAACACGCACTTACATAGAAATAATTCTCCTCCGATCTTGAAGATGACTACATCCATCTCCAAACAAGCATCAGTAATTTCAAAAATGTCCCTTTCAACATAAGGACTTCAGTTTCTTGGTAGTGGATATAAATTTCACAGCAATCCTTATCCTTAAAATACATATGGATATACCCACAGAAAAAGGTTCCATTTCAATTCAATACTTTTAATTCAGGTTTCATCTTGGCAATATAAAGAGCAACATTACAAAGTGATTTCTGGAATAACTAATCACTAATCTGGTTTTATTTTCTCTCAGATGTTCTTCCATTTGGGTTTTCCTAGTAAAAATTATATGCTTATAAAATATACAATGCAATTTAACACATTTATTTATTCAAGTTCTACCTTTTGTTTTTGGCTTTTTAAAAAAAATTCCTAATAATTCAGTAGGGTTTCTGTGCATAGGTTTAGATATTTAGTTACCAAGCAATGAAAACTCAAAATCCAAGTAATACAGAAACTTCGGTATTCAGTATGTAAAATAAGGATGTCAACTATAAACTCTAGTCAGGTGAACAACCTAGTCTGAGATGACTCTTCTGAGTGGATGGCAGATGGCATTCTAAAAGGACAAAAAGATGTCCCTATAAAAAAGGGTGCATCAAAGGATAAGTTTAAGTTGTACTTAGTAAATAGCAAACGTAAGGTATCTAGTTAGTACCTTTCTATTTAGAAAGATCGGTTTTTTTTTTTTTAATGTTTTGAGACCAAAAATAGTAAGTGCTAAAATGGGCAATAAAAACAAATGTTGGTTTCTCTCCAATGTACTATAATA